TCTTGAGCCTTGTATTTGGTGAACTATCAATACATTATAAAAAAAAAAGAGCTTTCGATCCTCACCTGGTAGTGATAGTCTCTTTCATTTTTCGCTAGTGGAGAGCGCTCGATCATCAACTGAGGTCCGTAATTTACAAGCTAGTTCCATTGTTATTTCTTGCTTGTAGAGGTGGGGGTTCGATCCTCGCCTAAGAACGATGATTTATAATCTAATCGTTGATCATTCTCTCGAGTTCGATCCTCACCCACGACGCGATAGTTAACCAAATAATATCGTAGGACATTGCTATGGTGGAGAATATTCGATTTTCGTCTGAGGGAAGATTATTAACAAGCTAGTCGTAGACGACACAGTACTGATAGCAGACACGGAAAAGAAATTACAAAACCCCCTACAGAAGGTAGCCAGGGAGAGCGTGAAGAAAGGACTGAACATGAGCTACAAGAAGACAGAATGCATGGTCGTCAGTAAAAGGATGAGCCCGAAATGCGACTTGAAGGTGGTGGACACTAAAATCAAGGACGTGTGGAAATTTAAATATCTGGGAAGTGTTTTGACGGAGGACCGTAGGCCCGACGCTGAGATCCGAAGATGGATTGATATGACCGAAGATGCATTCCAAAACCTGGGCAGAGTGCTGCGAAACAGGAGGATTTCTCTGGTGACAAAGAAAAGAGTACTGAGCTGCAACGAATGTTGGACGGTCTCCTCAAACATGAAGAAGAAAATCGAGGCAGCGGAAATGTGGTTCTACAGAAGGATGCTGAGGATATCATGGACTGAGCGTGTGAGCAACGATGAAGTCTTGTAGAGGATGCAAACCAGGAGGAAGCTTATGCTTAACATAAGGAAGAGGCAGATGAAATTTCTGGGACATGTAATGAGAAAGGAGGGTGTGAAGAATCTGATACTCACAGGTCGAATAGAGGGAAAGAGAAACAAATGGATGGCAAGACGGGGACTGAGTGAGTTGGAAGAGGCACGAAATTACTGACAGCCACAAGGGGCGGGAGGGAGAGTGAAGAGCCATGATCGCCTTCGTCTTTAAAGGACAAGGCACACAAAAAGTAAGAAAGGAAAAGAAGACTTGTTAATCGTTCTCCATTGGACAGTGTTTCGTCCTTAACTGAGGATAAGTTTTGTTGGCCACTCATGGCTGAAGAGTGTTCGTTTTTCACTTGAAGGTGATTATTAGCCAGCTAGGCTTGTCGGTCATTCCTTGTGGAGAATGGACGATTCTCACTTGTGCCGTGTCTCTTCAGGATGGAGGCGATCATGGCTCCTGTCCTTTGTAACTCTCAGTAAGCTTTTGTCTTTTTGTTATTTATCCTAGATCCTGCCACCCACTTGCTCAAGCTCTTTAGGTATGTCACGCCTTGTTTTCCCTTGTCCTTCTTTCCCTCTAACCGCCCTATGAATATCATATTTTCTAAACCCTGCCGTTTTCATTATGCATCCCAGAAATTTCAGCTGCCTCTTCCTGATGTTAGTTATCAATTTCCTTTTTGTTTGCATCCTCTCCAAACCTCATCGTTGGTCACATGTTTGGTCCATTGTATCCTCAGCATCCTTCTGCAGAACCACTGTTTTCTTCAAGTCTGTTCTTAATCTTTGAGGAGATTATCCAGCATTCGCTGCTATAAAGAAGGACCTAGCAATTCAGTACCCTTTTCTTTGTTACCAACGAAACCTTCCTCTCTCGTAATACTCTGTCTAGCTTTTGGAATGAATCTTTGGCCATCCCAATACATCTTCGGGTCTCAGCGTCGTACTTTCCGTCCTCTTTCAGTACACTTCCCAGATATTTAAATTTCCTCACCTGCTTGAAGGAAAGTTGGCTCCCTGTGCCGCGCTAGGAAATTTTTCTCCCCGGAATCGATCCTCCAGATCTACAAATCAACCATTCGCCCTTGCATGGAGTATTGCTGCCATATATGGTCTGGAGCCCCTTCTGTTTGCCTCGGGGTTCTTGATAGGCTCCAGAGGCGGATATGCAATATAATTGGCCCTGCTCTGGCATCTCGACTACAGTCACTTTCTCACAGACGCACCGTCGCCTCTCTGTGTTTTACAAATACTTTCATGGTAATTGCTCCGAGGAACTGCATTCGCTAGTTCCCAGACTCCATGAATTCAAGCGCCCTATGAGGCTGGCATCCCGCTCTCACCCTTTCACTGTCGAAACTCTTAAATCTAGCCGTCTCTTCTACTCCAATAGCTTCATGTCTCGCACCTCTCGCCTGTGGAACTCCCTTCCCTATTCCATTTTCTCTGAGAGCTATAATCTCCAGCTATTCAAATGTAATGTCAATCGACATCTCCAGTTGCCTTGATCTATCCACTACCCTTCTCATCCTTTATTCTATCACTTCTATCTGTTCTTGCTCCAAATTTTTCTGTAACCCCTTGCGTCCTAGTGGCTTCTCGCCTTGCTTGGGGTGAATCGCTTTAAAAAAAATAAAATAAAAATGAATAAAATGAAATAAAATAAAATAAATTGCATTTCGGGCTAAAGTTTTTGCTGATCACCATGCATTTTGTCTTCTTGGTTTGTTTTGGTTTATTTTGTTTTACGGCATAGCAACCTCAATGGGTTATTTAATGCCGACAACATTTTTAGGATAGATTCGTATGAATAGAATATGTATTCTTTGGTTTAGATTGGTTTGCTTTATTTTGTTTTACGACATATCAACCTCAGTGGGTTATTTAATGCCGACAACATTTTCAGGATAGATTCATATGAATAGAATATGTATTCTTTGGTTTAGATTGGTTTGCTTTATTTTGTTTTACGACATATCAACCTCAGTGGGTTATTTACTGCCGACAACATTTTCAGGATAGATTCATATGAATAGAATATGTATTCTTTGGTTTATATTGGTTTGCTTTATTTTGTTTTACGGCATATCAACCTCAGTGGGTTATTTAATGCCGACAACATTTTCAGGATAGATTCATATGAATAGAATATGTATTCTTTGGTTTAGATTGATTTGGTTTATTTTGTTTTACGGCATATTAACCTCAATCGGTTATTTAATGCCGACAAAAGTTTTTCTTGCTAGTAATATTTTGTTTTGTCAAAAATCTCGTAATATTTTTCCTCCAAAATTGTATTGCTGGTAATAATGTTTATTGCTGGTAATAGTTAACTATTTGCCCGTAGCTGGGATCCTAACAGGTGCTACAACCCCGTGTCAGGTTGGGCCTGGGGAACACCAGCAATTAAGAGGTGGTTCCACACTCCTCAAAACCTCCTGATCAGAGGCCTTGCTGTTGGACGTAGTTTATCGTCTTACCCAGGATGTAGTTTATATCTTACCTAGAACGGGAATTTTGTCTTCTTGTGGTTTATGCTTAGTTCTTCTCGCTGTCATTCGCTACTTTCTTTAGAGGGTTTTGTAGTTTCCTTTCTGTGTCTGCTATCAGCACTGTGTCATCTGAATATCTTATTAAGATTGTCACCGCCAAAGATGAATCATGGAAGAATTTCCAGTTCTCGCAGAATTGCCTCGCTCTATAGATTGAATAAGTCCGGTGAGAAGATACATCCTTGCCTTGCGCCCCGTTCTATTTTTGTATATATGGTGACCCCATTCTTTATCTTTATGAAGGCGGGTTGCTACCAGTAGCAGTCACTAGTGGGCGATTGGTCGCAAGATATTCTCGTTAGTCGTTGCCTAGGGGACACTGTTCGATCTCCAAATAAGGATAAGATCTATTGATCATTCACAGGCCTGAAGTAAAGAGCACCCAGTGAGGATCGAACTCACTACTCAATTGTAAATGATCTAGCGAGACAAAATGTCTTCCCATTACCCCCCGTCGAGGTACCTCGGCCTCAAAAGTAATGTCTTTATGGTGATTTACTAAAAGAAAGCTTAGACGTGACACAAAGCCGGAAGTCGGGAGCATCTAATGAGGAACAACCTCACTACTCAGTAGTAATTGATCTAGCGAGATCAAGCTTGTTAACCATTACATCACGTCAGATTCACAAAATGATTTGCTAAGCGTAGCTTAGATTTGAAATACGGGCGAAAGTAGAAAACACCCAGTAAGGATCGACCTCACTACTCAGTCGTAATTGAACTAGCGAGATCAAGCTTGTTAACCATCACACCACGTCGAATTCACAAAATGATTTGCTGAGCGTAGCTTAGATTTGGCACACGGCCGAAAATAAGGAACATCCATTGGGAATCGAACTCACTACTCAGTCGTAATTGAACTAGCAAGACAAGCTTGTTAACCATCACACCACGTCAAAGCGCTCTCACTCACTTTATATCTATAGAATATTTTCTTCACTTGCTATGTGTATTCTATTTTTTATAGTCTTATTGTTCGTAAAGGTCAAAACTCTATTGAAAATAACCTGTTGACGCTTTCCTTTTTTTTTAATTCTTTATATATTACATAAACACACACAGGGCCCAGCCTGACGCCATGAACTGAACTCTAGACATAACAGTTTATCTCTAAATGCTACCGATAACCAATGGGGACTTTTCTCCGAGCGAAAAAAAAGAAGCTTTATGAAAGAGATAAAGACAACAGGCAATGTGACGAACACTTATAAAAATAAAGACTTAAGCTGGTAGATCTTCTGAAATAGCAATCGGCGCTGAAATCAGATAAGTGCACTCTTTGACAGACGGGAAACGAAGGACAGCCATTGAGTTTCGACAAGGGCGTGCGTGGCTTGAAGACGGACAAGTATGGTCTCCTTCCCTTACAAGATATCAACCGAGTTTTGCCCTCAATTCAATGATCAGTTTATTTTCTCTTACAAGGGGAGAGCCTTCTTCAGACCCCAATCCCCACCGTCCCTAGCTCGATACCCGACCCTCGACGAAAAGATGACCAAGATCTTTTTTTTAATCATATCTCCCCATGTAAGGCAATAAAGAGGCAAGGGTGTTACTGAGTGTAAAAGAATACGTAAAGAAGAGGAACATTATTAAGAGGCAATAGAAATAGTGTTATGAGACCTTACCCATAATAACATAATGGACTATTCCATACGTAATAAATACTGCGCGTCAAGAGGAAGCAGGGAGTTCAGTGTGAAGTCCGTCAGGAGTCTGTCAGTCAGTCAGAGCGAGTCAGTTAGTCGAGTCAGAGGCAGTCCGAAACAGAGTCGCGTTCAGACAATTACTACTAAACTTGATTGTTCGTACTAACACTTTCTACTTCTCTGTATATATTCCTGTTTGTAATATATCTGTGTTATTCCATATACGTGTTCGAGTTCTTCTTTATTGGTTCTACCTTGGCCCATCACCGTGGTACAAGGACCTGGACTATAACAAACAGAAATGTAATCAAGAAGACAGAAGATAATAATTGATGTTGAATTTAATTTTTTTAAGATCAAAATTGGCTAGAAAGCATGTCTCTAGAAAAGAGTTCCACAAGCGAGAAGTGCAAGCGAAAAAACTCTTAGCATAGAACTTACTGTTATATCTAACCAATTCAAATGTGAATTGATGAGACCTTGAAGCTAATCTGGTACTGCGCTTAAATTTACAAAGGTACCATAGCGTAGAGTTCATTCGAATATACCATAGAAGTATTTATAGAAAATGGACAGGTGAGAAAGTGACTGAATCTGAGACGCCATATTAGACCAATAATATCAATGATTCTTTTTTGGATTTTATCACGAATTTCTAAATATACAGCGAGACTACCGGACCACATGTGGCAAAAATATTCAAAGCCTGGACGAATGGTAGACTCATAAATATGGAAGATAGATTCTGGAGAGAAAAACTGTCTTGCATGTCACAGTGAGCCAACTTTCTTAGCAGCAGACCAAGCAATGAATTCAGTATAATCTTTCCACTTCATGTCAGCCGAGAATGTAAACCCCAGAAGATGGTAGATTAGATAAAAGAAAAGAAAAGAGAACAAGTACATCAGTTGACTTATAAGTGCCTCCTGTGAATTGAGACGGACCTTGTCTCTCTGCCTGTCTGTCGACGTGGTGGAAGCCATTTTGGTTTTGGTTTCCACGTTATCGTCAGCACTTAAATATTAACAAACAAAGTAGATGGATATTTTAGGGCATTTTTGTTTTTAACTTCTGTTTTTATTTTCTCTTGTAATGTTTCGTGCGCAGGCGCTAACGAACGCGGGAAGAAAGATGAATGGAAACTCTTCGAGTGGCAGCCAAATTGGAATAACAGAACTGTGGCAGAGGAGGTGAGCGATATCTTATCCAGCAGGAAGTGGTGACGTCAACAAAATGTGAGATATCGAAAAAGGTAAGGTAATTTATTCACTGTTTAGAAACTCGGACACAGACCAGAATGCTGTTTGAAACGTTAAAGAAAACTATTGTTATCCTCATCATAATCATTGTCGTCGTCTTCATCGGTTTTCTGACTGGGTGTGGTCGTAGGGTCGCTGAGCGTAAAATATGGAACACCCAGTAACGATCGAACTCGCAACATAGTCGTAATTGATCTAGCAAGACAAGATTGTTAACACTGCGTCGAAATGCGTAAAACATGCAGCGATTTACTAAACGAAGCGTAGATGTGGCACAAGGCCGAAAATATGTAGCACTTAGAGAGGGTCGAACATACTACTTAGTCGTAATTAAGACAAGCTTTTTAACCATTCCACCACGTCAAAAAGCCCCCAAATATATTACGATTTACTCCTTCTACATGTCTCGGTTGCATACCGATATCTGCTACGCAGCGAAGGATTATCCAGTCCAATGGGTTAACACCCCTCTTTTTTGCTTAAGGCATACGGTTTATTGATTGGTTCGTTTTCTACGCTTTGTCAATCCTCTTGGAGGTTATTTAAAACTAGAAAATAATATTTAGAATTTTAATATTTTTCTTACTAATTAACCCATAGCTGGGGGGAGAAGTGGATTTGTACTTTTCCCAAGAGTATTTACGCGTAAGTGAATATAACGAACCCAACTGGAATTAGAACTCGGCTCTCCGATTAACATTTCCGAGCCATTATCCATTACACCAGCCATACATCCAAGCTTTCAGCACCTGGTATTCCCAAGCGGACTATGGTCGACGTTGCTTAACTTTGGTGAATTTTCTCTTCCTGATGTCCATGGCGTCTCCCAGCGGGCCTGTTTTTTCTTGTCTGATATTGTCTATAACGGTAGAAATTCTCTTAATATGTGTCTTCATTCCCAACTAGATTTATCTTTTTTTTTTTTTTTTCTTTTTTTTTTTTTTTTTTGCTGATAGTTCTCCCAGTATAATGTTTTTTTATTGTTTATCAACCTTTTGCCAGTGATTTAAAGCCAAAAAATAATTTTTAGATTGTAAGATTTTTTTGAGATAATAATGATTTAGTGAGACAAGTCTTACTGATTAACCCACAGGTGGGGGAAAAGAGGTGGATTCATGCTATTTACGCGTAAGTGAATATAACGAATCCAACAGGAATAAGAATTCGACTTTCCGATTAACAATTCCAAGCTATTATCCATAAACTAGCCATATATCAAAGCTTATTGTACTTAGTATCCTAAGCGGCCACCCATCTAATTATGGACCAGGATCGACGTTGCTTAACTTACATGAATTTTCTCTTCCTGATGATATTTATAGTATCTACCAGTGGGCCTGTTTCTTGTCTGATAGTGCCTCGAATGACGTTATTTTTCATATGGTCTCTTTCTCTCTCTCTCTCTCTCTCTCTCTCTCTCTCTCTCTCTCTCTCTATATATATATATATATATATATATATATATATATATATATATATATATATACACAGTTCTAACCATGTTTCAAAATGGAGTACTCCAAATTCGTTTGAAAATGAAATGGAAATAATGTCTTTAATTTAATTACAAAATTAAATTCGGAGCTTTCAGCTTCCATTTTTGAAACATGGTTAGAACTGTAATAAAAAAAAACATATTTTAAATCAATTAATTTTTAATATATATATATATATATATATATATATATATATATATATATATAGCTCGACTCTTCCGTCGAATCCTACGTAAAAGCAGATCAGTTTTCAGGAAACCGACAGCCCGACAACAGCACATGAGAATTGATTATAGTGGTGAAGGTTTCGTGCAGGACCATGCACACTTTTTGGGCCGAATTCAGAGACCTGGTGCACTAAGTGCCACAAGGTCCCCAAACGACCATTCGCAGGTTTTGAATTCAAAGTTGTCCTTCTCCTAGACCAGTTGCCATCCAAGGCTATAGAACCCAGCCTGTCCTGCCTGCTATTTACCCATAACTGGAGGGAGAAGAAGAGGAGGCACCGTGGAGAAATGGATATCGGCTTGGATTGAGGAATCGGAGAGCCGAGTTCGAATTCCAGTCGAATCCATTACATTCACTTACGTGAATATATATATATATATATATATATATATGTATGTATTAGCGGTACTTATTGGAAAGTGCTCAATATTAGTGATGAAGCTAACATATTTAGTTGCCATACGACTGAATATATATATATATATATATATCATGTGTTCTATATATAGGAGATGCCTGAGATGGTTCTGTAGCATCAATTTTCAAATAATTAGCTTTTTAGCTGTAGTCATGCTCTTAATGTTCAGCATTCGCACACGTACAGAAGGACAGCGTGGAGGCCAGTACACGCAACACGTTATTTCACTTGGAAAGGGGGTCGGCTTCACCAGCACTACTTTTACTGAAACATACTATGCATTGTTATTATTTAACGAATTAATTAATTATTCAAACGAGTGTCCCCATTCTCGTTGTTTTAATCGTAACGTTTCGGAACCCTCTGCAGTCATCTTCAGGTGGTCAGTGAATCTGGTAATTTTCTAATTTATTTATGTGCCTAATTTTATGTTATTTCGCTGCTTGACGAGGGAAGCAATGGAGACTGGATGAAAGTATGATAAGGATCGCCGTACGTTCCAGCAAGCATTTTTTATGCGCTCACACATTGCCTCCTTAACCTAGAAGGAACTAACCTAAATATTTCGCGATCATCTCTCTCTCTCTGTCACTCCCCCCCTCTCTCTCTCTCTCTCTCTCTCTCTCTCTCTCTGAATCCCATGTACTACAACGTATCCTCTGATGGTCGCACCTTGTCGTGGTGGAAAGGCTGACGTGATCCAATGACTCTAACAGCAATGCCGTCACGAGCTCTAAACTCGAGGTAGGATCACCCTTGGTGGCAATGTCGAAGACGTGGACCCAGACTCATCATTATCATCCTTCGACCTCCCTATGTTTAGTCGGAACTCCATTGGCAATCCTTTTCTACACTATTCCGTCACTATTTACATTATTCGGACTATTGTCCTCATCTTTTTCGACATATTTATTAGAACGTTTCGGCCGTTGTACACTCCAGCCTTCTTCAGGTGGTTGGAATGTCTCGTTATTTCGCTCACTAGTGTAGTTCTATGTGCCATGTTTAATGGATGCCAGTTATCAGTTATCTTCTCTTAATTTCCCTCTCCAAGTTCTCCACTGCCTTAACCGGGTATTGAACTCGCACTCTTTGGGTTCTGTCACTGGATCTAACTAATGCCTTTATCCACTGTGCTACGTGAACTTTGTCATCCTGTGTATGAATTTCTGGGTATTATAAACCTTACGCAACCATTAAAATAAAGAGTTCAGCTCGACATTCCAACCACCTGAAGAATGCCGGGGCGTACTACGGCCGAAACTTTGTAATAAATATGACGACAAAGATGAGGACAATAGTCCGAATAATGTAAATAGTGTACGTAACACCTCATCTCAGAAATATAGACAGATACTGAAAGGTCGAAACGTTGTAATAAATATGACGACAAAGATGAGGACAATAGTCCGAATAATAAATAGTGTACGACACCTCAAGATAGACAGATACTGAAAGGCCGAAACGTTGTAATGAATATGACGACAAAGATGAGGACAATAGTCGAATAATGTAAATAGTGTACATAATACCTCATCTCAGAAATATAGACAGATACTGAAAGGCCGAAACGTTGTAATGAATATGACGACAAAGATGAGGACAATAGTCCGAATAATGTAAATAGTGTACATAATACCTCATCTCAGAAATATAGACAGATACTGAAAGGCCGAAACGTTGTAATAAATATGACGACAAAGATGAGGACAATAGTCCGAATAATGTAAATAGTGTACGCAATACCTCATCTCAGAAATATAGACAGATACTGAGAGGCCGAAACGTTGTAATAAATATGACGACAAAGATGAGGACAATAGTCCGAATAATGTAAATAGTGTACATAATACCTCATCTCAGAAATATACACAGATACTGAAAGGCCGAAACTTTGTAATAAATATGACGACAAAGATGAGGACAATAGTCCGAATAATGTAAATAGTGTACATAATACCTCATCTCAGAAATATAGACAGATACTGTCCTGTCCTTTATTGTTGTCCACATATCACCAATGTCCAATCCTGCCTCCTGAGCTATATAATCTTGGGAAGTCAATTTTTGAGAGAAGACATGGGAGTATGGATGAGGCGATTTCCATGTCCGTTCGTTGGCAGTGTCCGGTTATCATAGCGCAACCAAACCCAAAATTATCTCAACGATGGAACAAGCGGATGACGATTACACCAGATCACAACGTTTGAACCAGCGGTTGAAAAAGGCTACGCATGACGGACATGCTATAGAAGGCGTCACTCGAAATTATAACAGCGTTAACGGTAGTCTGTTAGAGTTTCATAATTGACTTCTGCATCTCATTCAATATGTGACGCAGAGGAAGGCCATGAATTCAAATGTGTGGATCACTTCCTCGCAAGTTGCAGTCCAACTTAAACAAATTCACGCAATCGGTACTTTCTTCTCTACTGATTTTGTTTCGCCTCCTACCAACTCTTGCAAAGCCAAACAGCGATAGGGAATGGATGGCCTGAACAGGTTTTGGCGAAACTGGAAGTTTCTAGTTCAGAACCTACATGTTGGCGGTGAATGTAGTCATCGGCGCCATCATCATAAAG